CTTCCCTGGGGGACAGACAACAGAAAAATGGGTGAAGGGGGGATGTCGGACAGTGTAAGACATGATAAAATAAAAATAATTTATAAATTATCAAGGGTTTGTGAAGGAGGGGGCGGGGAGGGAGGAAAAAAATGAGATGATACCAAGGGCTCAAGTAGAAAGAAGGTGCTTTGAGAATGATGATGGCAACAGATGTACAAATGTGCTTGACACACTGGATGGATGGATGGATTGTGATAAGAATTGTATGAGCTCCCAATAAAATGATTTTTTAAAGAAAAAAAATTAAGATATAAAAGGAGGAGATCCCAAAAAGTATGTCTATCTGATGGTCTTGGGGACGCCCCTTCTCAAGGAGTCTCTTGTTGAGGGTTCCAGGAAGCGCCATAATGAGGAAGAATTTTTTTCCTCCTAATAATTTGTTAAGAAAGTCTCTTGTCAAAAAAAAAAAGAAAGTCTCTTGTTCCCCTCTCCCCAGAATTTATTTCAGAGGACAGCCCTGAAGCTGCAGCTCAGGGAGAAGGACATGTCTGATCACAGCACATGGGAGCAAATGAAGGGGGAGGAAGAGAGAGTGGAGCACATGCTGGTCCACCAAGCCTTGAGGATGATATTCCCGCTCAGAGCAGCCCATCCACAGAGAAGAGCATATGGCCGCCCCCCCCTTGAGACACAGCATCCCTCACTGACCCATAGCCCTATAGGGGACAACACTGGAGACACAGTGTGGGAATTGCCCGATCTGATCCCACCACACCAAGGCAAAACACTAAGGGAGTATAACAGAACAGCAAGGGGAGCAGAGCAACGAAGTCTCCAGGGAATACCAAAAATAGACTTTGGGGCCAGGGCATGGCACCCCATCAGACTTGACCAGAAAACACTCCTAAAGGCCAACAAACACTCCTTGAACTAACTACAAGCTTTTCTTTTTCATTTTTGGGGGTTTTTTTGGTCATTGGCTTGTTGTTTTCTTTTGTTGCTTTGTGTTGCTCTGTCTTGTTTTTGTGCATGTTATTATCTCCACAGGTCTATCTAAATAAAATAGGCTGGATGAACAATCTGGAGGAGAAAACAACGGGACTGGTAGTTCCAGGGGGACATGGGAGAGGGAGAGGTGGGGAAAAAGGACGTGGTGTTAACAAACTCAGGGACAAGGGAACAACAAGTGATCCAAAATCAGTGGTGAGGAGAGTGTAGTAGGCCTGGTAGGGTGTGATCAAGGGTAATGTAACCAAGAGGAATTACTAAAACGTAAATGAAGGTTGAGCATGACAGTGGGACAAGAGGAAAGTAAAAGGAAATAGAGGAAAGAACTAGGAGGCAAAGGGCATTTACAGAGGTCTAAATAAAGGCGC